AGGCGTATAATAACCGTAAACCGCAGCTCCGTGGCACCCAATAGACTTATGCCAGTGGTCTGCTTAGCATTAAAACTCACTGAAATTCATCTTTGCAACTTCGCGCAACAAGAAATCATAAATAATGCCTCTGTTGCAGAAGCTTCGAATGAAGTTTAATGATATCACCGCTATAAAATGTATACCTCCAATTCATATTTTTCTCGATTGTCAAATCCTGCAGTTTTCTATGTACCCGAAGACTCCAACATATATTCTAAATATGATCCTCCGGGAAAACTACTTTTCAGTAGCAAACTATTTTGGAAATAAGTCACAACTGTCTTCAAGTAAACCACTTATCTGTAATTGGTCTAGCGCTTTGTCGAAATAAGCTTTCAAGGGAAACAGATTTGCCATTGTCCGCCTGAGGTGAACACTTTCTAAAAAGTCTACATTTAAGCTTTTAAGTACTAAAACCTATCTACATATAGAATATGTATATGAGAGACTCATCCATATATGGACGACAACTTTTTTTGTATGTACATATGTATATGATTAAATGTATTTACTCTCTTTTATCGTTCTAAAAAACATATAAAGCAAAAAATTGTTACAAACTTTCTTTGGATCTAATTTTTGGTGGTTTTATTTTTTTTACTTCCGTTGGAAATTACCGCAATAAGCTTATGAACGTGATTTGCACATTATTTCATCAGCTTTTTTTTTAATTTTAGCTTTTAATTTCTTACCTATGTATACAGAACATATGTTTCATATTTATATACATAGCGGTATTTGTGCAAGTCAGTGTTGCTTTGATTAATGAAATTTCATTATTTAGCCAATGTTTTGCTACTTCCGTCGATAGCTCTTTTAATGCTTCAAATATTTATGTAGGTATATGTATATTTATATACAATGTATATTATTTACTTAACCTAACTAGTCGTGTATATAAAAACTCTTATATAACTATATATAGAGAAATTTTAACATTCGTACGTGCTAAAAATAATATTTTAGCGAAATTGAAATGAGAATATACTTATACAAGCACAACTAAGTCGTGCATAAATAGTTGGAAATCATACATATTCATAATTTTTGTAAAAACAAAATTAACTGGACTACAACGCGGCTTTCTATTCTTATCAAATAAATGCCTATGGTATTTGCATACTTAGGCTCAATATATGTACAAGTATATATGTATGTAAATAATAGTTTTGTTCACCTAACGGTTGGTTGTATTGAGGTAGATAAAAGGTTATATACCATATACGGTATATAAATGATCAGGATGACGTGACGAGTTAAAATTCGAGTCAGTGTCTGTCTGTTCGTCCGCGCAAGCTGAAACTTGAGTAAAAATTAAGGTTTCTTGATGAAACTTGGTACAGAAGTTCCTTGACACCATAAAAAGTTTAGTCTTGTAGATGGGCGTAATCGGAACAGTAAGGAAGGGTAAGCCAATTTCAAATTCGATATGATTCTTACACTTTCCAGTATACAAATCAAGCACCAAGGAATACATCGGGAGAAAACTTTGCACAAATAGTGCTTTTGAGGTATACCATCTCAAGTCTAAAAGTTGTCAAAATTGGACCATAACTGTTCAAGCCCCCAGTTACGGAATATGAGTAGCCCAGTGCCTGAGTATAACTTTTTACCGGAAATAACGGCCAATCTGTGAGATATATTATAGCAATTCGGAGAGAAGCTCTTCCTGATAATAGTAGACTGTATGTCAAAAGTGGATTGAATCGGGTCTATACTTCCCTTAGCCCTCATATACCTTATCGAAATATTTTCGAACTTCCGATTTACTTGATACCGCGTATATCAGCTAATATGTGAGCTATTTCTATAAAATTAAGTGAATGTATTTTTCTTATAATGAAAATTTTTTTTGTTTAAAATGAGTAAAATTGGGTGAAAACTTGCCCTAGCCTCCATATAACTAATCACAGATTTTTCAAGAATCCGTTTGGCCTTGTTCCATATATGTATATCGGTCAATATGTAAGATATCTTAGCAAATATAATCGAACGTATAATATTGTATATACTATAGTTTAATTCCGAACAAACCTTATGTCGATAAAATTGCTTGACTATATGATCTCAAGTATACATTAGCAATAAAAAAACAAGAAAAAACGTTAACTTCGGTTGCGCCGAAGCTATAATACCCTTCACAAAAACAAAGGCCCCTTACAAGAACTTGATTCCGAACGTTCAATTTGTATGGCAGCTATATGATATAGTGATCTGATCTGACCAATTTCTGTGGAGAATAATTTGTTGCCTTAAGCAATAACTCGTGCCTAATTTCGTAAAGATACCTCGTCAAATAAAAAAATGTTCCATGCAAGCACTTTACTCTGATCGTTCAGTTAATATGGCAGCTATATGCTATAGTCATCCGATCCATACAATTTCTTCGGAGATTAGATTAATGCTTTAAATAATAATACATGCCAAATTGAAGAAGATACCTCGTCAAATGAAGGAGTTTTCCATACAAGCACTTCATTCCGATTGTTCAGTTTGTATGGCAGCTATATGCTATAGTGGTCCGATATCGGCCGTTCCGACAAATGAGCAGCTTCTTGGGGAGAAAAAGAAGTGTTCAAAATTTCAGATCGATATCTCAAAAACTGAGGGACTAGTTCGCGTATATACAGACGGACAGACGGACGGACGGACAGACAGACGGACATGGCTAAATCAACTCAGCTCGTCACGGTGATCATTTATATATATACTTTATATGGTCTCCGACGTTTCCTTCTGGGTGTTACAAACTTCGTGGAAAAATTAATATATCCTGTTCAGGGTATAATTAACTCAATCAGCCCATCCCTTTCTCTGCCTCCAAAATAGCCTGTATACAAATTTTTGACTTTCCACCTGACAAAATGTGTGATATTTTAATAAAATTAAATAAAGAAATTTTCTTAAAAATTGTGTGGTAATATGAATGAAATTGGTCTAAACTCTCCTCCAAACCTTATATCCCTTAAATAATGAATTTCGATCTTCCGGTTGACGTTTTCACATCAACTCAATATTATTGAATTTAGCCTCTTTGGATAAGTTTATAATAGATATATCTCATTTGAAAATGATTATATTAATGAATTTTTATCTGACCCGAAGTAAAATATAGTATACAACTAAGACCTATAATATAACTTAGTAATCAATTTGATTGTAATCCATTTAAGATTTCGTCGTAATTTGTAATGAATGTTGAATTGTTTCGCAACATTTTTAATATAAAGTTGTCCTAGTATAAAATAGAGTATAAAATCTTCGGTTACACCCATTTACATACCATTGATAATGACATAAATTGTACATATTTGGAAGTTAGCTTCATCTGCATTTAAAAAAGTAAACATTCACTAGAAAAATATTCAATATGAAAGAACGAATGAGGCTTTTATGACTTGACGAGAACGAATACTGCTTATAATCTAGCGTTCATATAGAACAGACGTGGTTAAATAATTAAGCTTGCAAATATCTTCTCTACGTCTATCTGATTTGAAGGCTTAAGGGCACAGCTAGTTTACAGCAAATTCGAAAAATATAGTTTTGAGAAAAACGCGGTTTTAAAGAAAAATCATGAGAACGCACTTATATGTTATACAATAAGCTCCACACATGCTATGTGGATACATACATACATACATATGTATGCACTATTTTATTTTGCACTCTTAGTAAATGCGATTTCCATGTGACATTTTGTCGCTCTGACACTTATCACCTTTTTAGTTCAATAGGTCGCTTAAAATGTGTGCTTCCTACAAATGACAATGTCTGTATGTATTTGTTTTTGTATGAGTATAAACATACACACTTCCACATTCGAACATACATACATATACAAAGACAATGCGCACATTGGTTTTGCCACTGTGTCATTTTGCGTGGAGCCTCTCTTAAATCCTATTCCATTTAATTTTTCTTGGTAAAAAAAAAAACAATGAAAAGCAAAAAACTAAACTTTGAAAGACTTACTCTATCGATATCTAAAATAACTAGCTGTATAATAGCCGACTTATTTTATTCAAAGTACTCGAAACCTTTTTGCTGGACAAATGACACCACTTAAAGCGGTGAGGTTGAGTTAGGTTAGGTTGCATGAGCTGCTATAAAAAAGTACATACAAACAAACAAAAAACAAATGAATAAAAAATTACGGAACTTTGCCTACTATAAAAAAAATTTCATTAATAATAATTTGACATACAAGTCCGAATAAGTCTCAAAATATTATATCTCAGAAAGTTGACTTCAAAAGGCTTTTAGAATATATATATTATACTAGGGGAGTTCGATACTGCTTTGTAGAGAGCGTACGAATTTGCAAAAAAATACTTTAGAAAATTTTACAATCGTGTCTAGATCGGAATACATACCCTCAACCCCCATATTGACTCCGCTCATGCAGCATTATTAACATTATAAGAGTCTTAAATCTAATAAGTGTATAAATTCGTCAAAAAATTAAATTATAGACTGAAGTCAATACTTCTCCTCCAATATATTGCAACGTTAAGTTCCGTCAGAAAGATATACACACATACTCGTATGCATATACGTACCTATTTGTGATATTAAATAGTTTTAAATATAGTATTCTATCTAAGTCAGAGGTCTCATTTGTCGTTTAGGGACAATGTGAGAATAGGGTTGCACAAGAATGATACAAATAGAGATTACAACAGATTCGTCGTATTATTTTTTTTGGAGTGCATTTGACAGAAATTAAATACAATACATACATTCGTGAAGACCTAAATGAAAGTAGTGGACGGCTTTATTTACAATTACTATGAATATTTGAGAACTCATTTCGTTTATGGCATTGCGTGAGGCAATCTTGTAATCTAATTTTCTTGTGGCAATATTTATTTTTAATTGTACACGTAAATATTATACTATACTTTTAACATTTAAACTAATTATGTTCTTTGTTTCCTTTCCATATATTTTTCCAGCTCTAGGTTTAATTAAATTAGTACAAGCCACCTCGCCCGGTGTTACAAGTACGGAGGCATATTTCAATGGTTCGGCCTACCTACGACTGCTGACACCGATGCCAATTTGGGATCATTCCGCCATAAGTTTTCGGTCTTGTCGCGGTGAGTTAGACTTTAAAAATTGCATGCTCTGAACGAACTCTTCATCAATCAAGTATCACAATTGGCATATATTTTTACTATCGTCTTACAGGTGGTGAAATTTTAGCTCAACAATATAATAAGAACTCATTCGTCATCACTGTGCTGAGTGATTTTCTGCAAGTCTCACTGGCCGGTCCGGCGGTGATTGGCCCCAACAACCGTTTAGACGTTAAGCTACCCTATCACTTACTCGACAATCACTGGCACACGTTACAGTTCAAGTACGAATATGGTAATCTCTACTTGTACATCGATCGCACGTCGTTAGTTTTCGGTAAGTATACGCATTACTTTAACTAAAAGTAATCTTTGTGGCTATTTTGTAACACACTTCATTGCTCCGACTTTAACTACAGCGAATTCCACGTATAACAGTCAATTTTTGACCAATCAAGATATCGGCAATGAGGCGGCTATTTTAATATTGGGCAACTCATTTAGCGGTTGTCTACAAGATGGACCCGGTTTGCTCTTCATCAATGGCTCTGTGCAGAATGTCGTCTACGGTCCTTGTCCGTTGAGCACCGGTCCGTGTGGCGATCACGATGCACTCATGCTTGGACAAGATAATTATTGCTCAAATAATCCATGTATGAGTCATGGTCAGTGTACACCGTTAAATGATGGTTACGAGTGCCGTTGTACGCCGCGTTATACGGGTAAGAACTGTCAGATCGATAACGGTTCGCCGTGTGCGCGTAATCCCTGCGCAAACGGCGGCAACTGTACCGAAGACGTACGCGGCGATTATCAGTGCAAATGCACAACGAATTACAGCGGACGCAATTGCGAAACGGAAATCAATGTACACCCTGCCTGTCAACCGAACCCGTGTCTAAATAACGGCGCTTGCATCGTTGCGCCGGGTACTATAAAAGTCGAGTGCGAATGTGCCAAAGGTTATGCGGGTGCGCGCTGTGAAAACGATGTGGACGATTGCGCTTCGCAGCCTTGTCTGAATAACGGACGTTGCCTGGATTTAGTAAATGGGTTCACATGTGATTGCCGTGACACCGGCTTCACGGGTCAACACTGTCAAACGAATATCGACGAATGCGAGGGCAGTCCGTGTAAACATGGCGGCCGCTGTTACGATCGCTATGGTTGGTTCATCTGCCAGTGTCCTGATGGTTGGGCTGGTGAAACGTGTGAGGAGCCAACGAACTGTAAGACGCAACAGTGTTTGAACGGCGGCACCTGTGTGAATAAGACGATCGGCTTCTATTGCCAGTGCGCGCCAGGCTATAGTGGTGAGCTGTGCCAGCAGAGCCCACCGTGTCCGCAGTGTCCCATCGATTCGGAGTGTATTGGAGGGAAGTGCATATGTAAGCCAGGCACAACGGGTAAGTTTCGCCAGTTGGCTGTTTATTTGACTTTCTTTACGCTTTCGCTGGTACGCATTGCACACATTTCATTGGGGTGCGCAGAATATGTGGGTTTAGTTTAAGCAAGTAATATTATATTTTTATAAGAAATAAGTTAGTTGTAAGAGTTTTCGGTATGGTTAAAGTGGGTTAAGGGTTACCTTTTTATATTAAAGCTATTTACATATGTAGATTTCTTTAAGCTTCTACGCTGTAATTTTCTTGTAAAAAATTTAAAAAAAAGTTAATTTAAATATTCCTTCTGGCATGCCAAGCTTCTTCTGATATTAACCTCTCGCCCAACGAATCGTATGATGCACTCAGTCAATGGGAATGCCTGGGTGAGAAGCGCAAGCGCTACATACCGCCCGATTGGTTAAAAAAGAAACGCTGTGAGCTGAAATTAAGTACGAAATTACAAAAAATAAAAAAAAATTGTAAAAACAAATATAAATATTATCTGTCATTCCTAAAAGCCATATTGTTTTAAAGCTTCTAAACTATTCTAGTATTTTCAAGTAAAAAGTATTACGTTTTGTATATATGGATGTGGTTATTTAGCAAGTTATATAATATATTTATCTGCTTTGGTGGTTTCAAAAAGTGTATTATGTATGATGATTTTAGTTTTCATAGAAGTATACATATACTGATTTAATTCAATTCTACAGCTAATTTAAATAAGAGTTTTTCTATAAAAAAAAGAGGCACATTAATGCCGATCCCTTAAAAATCGAGCAATTAAATTGAAGTCTGCCTTACAAACCCATTAACAAAGCCATGCTGTGGTTATTCAAGCCATACTTAAGTCAACTAAGCCACATAGAATTAGATTAGGATTAGAACAGGATGCATATAGGAAAAATTAATATAAGTAACCGTTACAGCTTTGCGAATGATTTAGTTCTCAAACCTCGCTTTTTTCATGATTGATTCCAATTTTTCATGCTTGATTTCGGTTTGTGCAGAAGAAGTCGATTGGAGACCGTATAAAGATAATTTTTACAATAGTAGAGCTTTTCTTAAAATTTTCGTTCTCGAAATCGATTCGATTAACGCAACTGTAGTTGTTTTCAACCCAAAAGCCAGTTTCTTCTCAAAAACTACACCTACAGAATTGAAGTCCTCACCAGCTCAAACCATATTCCTTCGCAGCCTAAAAATTAACCGGAATTTTTTATTACATTCGCAGTAAATATCGCTAACTATAAAATAATATTACTTTCGGTTAGGTAATGAAGAATTTCGAAAGTTGGGCATCTTACAACAATAGCACCGATATATAACACATATAAGAGCTTAGGATTGGATTAAATCAGTACTTGTATATTTACATAAGCTAGGTATGTCCAAAATCTTGGTGGTTCTATGTATATATAAATTTAGTATAAAAGGGAACAAGAGGACTAATAGAGGAAAGAACCCAGAGGAGACAAAGGGCACTGCACATCTACTGACATCTATGCAAATAATGACAATTGTAGTGGACTCTATTTTCAGTGACTTCAATGGAGGTAGACCTCTTCTCTAGACTAAGCATAACTTTTTATTTTTGGTAGTTTTCTGGAAAAATCCGTAAAAAATGCCAGTTTTATGCATTTAATCTTTAAAGATTCCAATCTGATTTTATGGTTCTATTAAAAGAATACAATCGTTGAAAGGATTGTGATATCATACACTCAAGATCTAATTGTATTTCCAATGGAGTCATGGCTACGCAAACATTGAAAATATTCTAAAAGTGTTTTGGGGTGCCTACTTTATCAGCAACACAAGTATTTGAGTGGCACAAAGCATTTAGGGAAAGGCGTGAAGTCTACGAAAGCTTGCCTAACGCGAATCTTCCCTCCAGCTCTGTTAATGACGATAACATCTAAAAATTGCACAAAGTGGGCTTAAAGATAGCGGTGTTGGCTTCAGAGAAATGACAGAGGATCTCAACATCTCTTAGGGATCGACTCAACCATTTTGGTTAATGTTTTGGGTATGAAACGTGTCAATACTAGATTCGTACCAAAATACAATAATTTTTCTGCTTTCGAAACTTTAAAATCCACTTTGGGAAATGCGTCAAGAGTTCATTGCAACAATATATAAAAATCGATAGACGTTCGCGTCGTAAAAAAATAGCTGCCTAAATATATTCATTTATTCGGTTTCTATGCGTAGTTTAAATGGACCAATCCGTGTGAAATTTGATCTTGAGTTTATATGGAAAAAGCAGGTTGTGCAAAGGGTCTAAGGAAAAGAAAAATGTTATGACCTCATATTAACATTTTAAGGGCTTAATTGAACAGTATCTAAGCTGACCCAACGAGCTAACTTAGAACTGATCTGGCCAATACATAGTAGGTGGGCTCTCTTTTAATTCATTTCACTCTATACTTATCGGAAGCACCTTGATCATAAAAAATAAGCGATATTCAAGCTACTCGAGCTACTCATAAATTTTTTACTCCATCTACAAATGCGCAAAAATTTTGAGATATTCAAAACTAACAGGTGTAGCTAATGATTGCCACGCTCTCACTAAACGGTGCAAGACGCCTTCTTGAACCTAAGAAGAAGGTGAAGATTTATGCAAAAAATATTTCAAAACACAATGACTTATGATTGGAACTTTCCCGTGCAACACTCTCTAGGGGCAATTGTTTTGTGCAAGAGAGTCCCGAAATCAGAGAACCCTGATTTAGTTACCGTTAGCTAAGCGATTTTGTTAGATTCCTCGCATGTTTGCTCAAAGAACATTTGCAAGCTTACCACTCATAAACACACATTGTCATATACATAAGCACCAACAACAAACCACGCACTCACACGATACATACATACATACATACCAATTTTTATAGAAACTAATTGTGGTGCATGTACTTTGTACTATATCCTTTCAATTGGCACTAATATCTTGATTTAGGCCCAATTGGCCATTGTTTACCAATACCGACAACACCGCCACCACCACCAACAACAACGACAACAACAACTGCAACACCACCACCAGACAATTTGGTGGTTGCTAATGCAGCAAAAACAACAGCCGCCGCAGCAGCAGCAACAACAACAACAACAACTGCTACTGCAGGACAATTGACAGCGACAGCAGCGAACATAACAACACCAACAACAACCGCAACTGCAACAACGACAACAGCTAGAAATACGGCAACAACAACAACCACAACAACAAAAAACACACATAATCCGCTATTATCACATTTGGCTCAATTGAAAGCATGCCCCCCCGATAATTGCTTGAACGGTGGTACTTGTAGTGGCAGTGCTTCAAATTTTACTTGTTTATGTGCTAGTGGATACACAGGTTTGGAACAAACAACAATTACAATACTACATACATGCAAATACAATATCCAAAGAATACAATATATAGAAAAAAAAACCAACAACAGCAAATAATCCTGTACAAAGTCACTACAAATACTTAACCTCAAACACTATTTTAGTATTATTTTTGTTTTGTAGTAATGTTGCTAGACTTGTTGTTCTTGTAGTTTAATTTATAATTAAAACACGAATGCTAGAAATATTATTACTTATATGTATGCATGTAGTGCTGCTCGCAATTTTGGTATTATTATTTTTAACCCACTACACCCCGCCCACTTGAATGTAATTAAATGCCCTCCACCGAATAATTTAACGAGCATAAATCTAGTTATTTTGGCCTTTGGTGTGTTAGTGTTAACCACAGCAATTACTCTTAGTTAGCGTGAACCTAAAAAACCAATCAGAAAATGTAAAGAAAATTAGAAAAATATTTGTACACTCCCCTCACACACACACACACACCGAACATGCTTGACTAATTGCGATTTCCCCCACAACTACAGGTTACAACTGCGAACTGCCCGTGACAGATGGTGCGACAAATGTGCCATTGACCGGCAGCGGTGCCGTCGGCAACAGTCCCATTAGCTCCGCAATCAATTGCATCAATGGTGGCAAGTGTTTGAATGGCGGCACCTGTTCGATGAATGGCACACATTGTTATTGTGCCGGTGGCTTTTCGGGTGATCGCTGCGAGAAGGCCGAACCTTGTACGGCGCTTAATTGCCAAGAGCCAATGGTGTGCCAGTTGAATAAGTGCGTCTGTCCGGAGAATAAGATCTGCACGGCTTGCTCGGCACAACCGTGTCGCAATGGTGGCGTCTGTACGGATCTATCAAATGGCGAGTACACCTGCAGCTGTACGTCCGGCTGGACGGGTCGTACATGCATGAAGGATGTGGATGAGTGCGCTTTGGATCCGAATATTTGCGGTAATGGCATTTGTAAGAATGAAGATGGCTCGTACAAGTGCTATTGCACGCCCGGTTTTACGGGTAAACACTGTGACTCGGATGTGGATGAGTGCTTGAGTCATCCGTGTCAGAATGGCGCGACCTGCAACAATAAGGTAAGTGTTTGTTACTTTGTTTTATGTTGTGAGTTTCTAAAGCGTTCTTAGCTGTTCTTTTTTAAATATGGAAAACATCGGATTTTGAGACAAGTGAGTCCAGTTGAGGTTTTGAGTTTATAGCAATAATCGGTTGCTTGTTTAGCTGTATCCTGTAATTTGATTCAATGAAATAAATGTTTTCATATAGTAGTAAACATTGTAGTTCTTTTAGTGCTTAATCATCTATCCTTAGTTGTTCTACACTACTACTATTACGATAGGTTAGAAAAAGCTCTCTTAGCTAATATAACGTAAATATTTTCACCAACGAAGTGGGAAGTGAGCTACAAGCTAAATAACCCAGCCTTAAAAAACGAACTCGTATAACATCGGTTATCGTCGGCCCTGGTTCTCAAAAATTTGCATCTATTTTATTGATTCAGCTTTCATTCTGCAGATGCAATAAAAGGTTTGATAGGATAAATAACAGGGAGCCTATATTTGCAACATTTACATATCCCTTTACTTCATCCAAAAAATTAAACTTGCTTGTCAGCTCCAATATCTAGTATCCAATTTCCTCAAGAATGCTAAAGACTGAGGCCGTCTTAAAACATTCTCTGAGACCAGTTTATAAAAAGAATTTCTGTATAATTCGAATGCCGGGCCTTATTTCAATAAGAGATGAGAGGGCTTCTAGCTTTTGTTGAATGAAAATCTTGTATCTTGTCAAAGCCTATCCCCTTATTTTTATTATTTAAATCCAATATCCTCGAACTGTGTATGTAATTCCCTCACCCTCGCTATTCCCTAGAACTTCGTACACTTAACTAAAAAACAAAATGTTGACCCTAAAAAGTAGTTCCCTGATCTTAGCACATCTTTACTTCATTTCAACTTCTGTTAATAACCTCAACTTTGTGACCTGTCAACAGATCAACGCCTACGAATGTGTCTGCCAGCCCGGCTATACCGGTATTAACTGCGAAATCGATATCAATGAATGCGACAGTAATCCCTGCACGAAGGGCTCGACATGCAACGACATGATCAACAATTTCACCTGCTCCTGTATACCTGGCATGACGGGCCGCTTCTGTGAGAACGATATCGACGACTGTATCTCGGCGCCTTGTCAATACGGCGGCCATTGCATAGACGAATTGGGCGGCTTTCGTTGCGATTGTACCAATACCGGCTATCAGGGCCAACTCTGTGAGTTTAATATCGACGAATGTGAATCGCAACCCTGTCAAAATGGCGCTGCTTGCATAGACGATGTAAATGATTACCGTTGCAAATGTTATCCGGGTTATATGGGGAAGAATTGTGAAATCGATATTAATGAATGTGAAAGTAATCCCTGCTTGTATAATGGTAATTGTTTGGAACGTTCTAATATGACATTGTATGCCCTAAGTCAAACGATGGATTTGCCAGAGTTCTTTAGCCGCCAATTCTCCTATCAAAATGCGAGCGGGTAAGTTTGGGTGGTGGATTGAGGACGAAGCAAATAGGTAGCATATTTATTTTATTTTAATATTTTTAGATACGAATGCGTTTGTGTCCCAGGTATTATGGGTAAGAATTGCGAGATCAATATTAATGAGTGTGAAACGAATCCGTGCGGTAAACATGGCACCTGTAACGATGGTGTAAGTTTTATTAGAAAAATTCTAATTCAAAACAAGTCTTTTTAATTTTAAAAATATTTCCAGATCGGCACATATACCTGTGATTGTGACCCGGGCTTCGAAGATCGACATTGTGAGACCAATATCGACGAGTGTGACCGGTAAGTTTCTGGGAATGTGCGAAGTTTGTTGAGGGCAAAGGCTTACCCAGGTGCAAAATTTTGTTGGAGTATTGTGGTTTTACTATTTTATCCGAAATCTGTTATGAATCGATAAATTCGGTGAGATCCTCTTAATATTTATGGATATGGTTAAAACACCTGCTTTGAGAGTCGATGATAATATTCTTCGTATCTTGCATAAGACCGATCATTTCTACAGATTATTAGTTACTCATCGCTTTGTTAAAAACGTCCAAGATTTCATAATCTACATTAAGTGGACCTACCAAGTGTTGCCTTCACAAATTAAGTATGTACTGGACATCTGGTCCGTAAGTAAGATGAACCTTAAACCTAAAAAGTTAGTAAATTTATGTAATACGATCAAGAGCTTGTTGGTCTCGGACTTCATTGATAATATTCTCTATTGCGAAAATCTTTTAGAGATGTTGCTATCACGACTTCAATGTTCATATAAAAAACAAAAGGATTGCGATTAGGATATAGAACCACTTATGCCATAAATAATTTAATTAAGGACTCTGATGTGATTATCTCATCTTCTTCTCTTCCTCATTCAAAGGTATCAACCCTGTGGCGCACATGGCACCTGTATCGATGAGATCAACGACTATACCTGCGATTGTGACGCTAATTACGGCGGTAAGAATTGTTCGGTGCCATTGATTGGTTGCTTGAGCGCGCCATGTCAAAATGGTGGCAACTGCAAGCCATATCTAGTCAACGAAACCGAGCATCTCTTCAACTGTACGTGTCAACATGGTTTTCAAGGGGATATTTGTGAGAAGACAACAACGATTTCAATGGTTGTAAGTAGTTTAATAACGGTAAAGACGCAACGTGAGGAGGGTTATGATATAAATCTACAATTCAAAACCACATTACCGAACGGTGTACTAGCTTTTGGCACATCGATCGGACACAATGAACCCGTTAGTTATATATTGGAATTGATTAACGGTCGCTTGAATTTACACTCTTCGCTGCTGAATAAATGGGAAGGCGTCTTTATTGGCTCCAAATTGAACGATAGCAATTGGCATAAAGTATTCGTGGCCATTAATACTTCGCATTTGGTGCTCTCAGCGAATGATGAGCAGGCCATCTTTCCCGTGGGTTCGTATGAGACCGCAAATGGCAGTCAACCGTCGTTTCCGCTCACATATTTGGGCGGTACAATACCGAATTTAAAATCATATCTACGTCATCTGCCGCATCGTCCGTCGAGCTTTGTCGGTTGCATGCAGGATATTGTCGTTAATGGCAAGTGGATCTTCCCCGAAGAGCAAGGCAACGAAATAGATACGAATTTGACAAATATACAGGCCGGCTGCCCGCGCAGCGAGCAATGCATACCGAATCCGTGTCATTCGAATGGCGCATGCACGGATTTGTGGCATACATTCTCATGCACTTGTCAGCGGCCACACTTCGGACACACCTGCAAATACAGTGAGTTAAATTCAATCTTGCTTAAAGGGGTTTTCCCAATATTTTTTCTAACACTTCTTTTACAGACATAACTGCCGCCACATTTGGCCACGAGAACACCACGCATTCGGCTGTTGTTGTGGAGACGAACGACTCGGCTCGTCGTGCCATACGTTCCATACTAGATATATCCATGTTTATTCGCACACGCGAGCCAACTGGACAGGTCTTCTATTTGGGCAGCGATCCAAAGAAGGTCACTCCAAAGGGAGCAAGTAAGTATTTAAACATAATAATACACAAATGGTGGCAGATGGATCAATAAGAACTACAAGTACTTGTACAGCTATTTTATATTCGTCTTGATTAGATCTTTAGGGTAAGTTTGTTTGGCTGCTTAGGTCTAAGCCATACCATTTCTATGCCGAACAAGTCGATTTTAAAGTTGTATATACGAGATTTTTGTTTGTTTCTCAACCCATTGGGGTAAAATCCCTAAAATTGCTACCAATAAAACCGGGGAATTTGTAATTTCTTGAAAAGTTTCACCTGATTCCGTCGTCTGAAGTGAACTTGAGCCGTATACAGTTTGCGTACCCTATTGGCGATTTGCATAGAGCTCGGGTTGACAGTCGAGTTCAAAGTAGTTACGCTAGAAATTACGTTACATAACAAGTCTCTTTCGACAACGTTACACATATTCCTTTTTTCTATATCTTGAAAGCGATGAGCTCAAATATGGCTTATGAGACGGCTTGCAGTCGGTAAGGTCATATTTGGAAGTGAAATAAAAACTGGAACTTGAAGCACATTTTTAACAATACCAATCTAATTTGTAAGAGTTGAGTGAAGAATATTAGTATGCTAATTTGAACACTGAACACGGCTCTAGCTAATCAGATGTACAAGACCTTATAACTACCAACTTATTGATCCAATTACCCACATAACCTTAATACATACCATTATATATAGTTACCTTTGATCCTCTTATAATTTCTTTCTACTTATACACCCAACAAAACTTTAAACCTGTTAATAAAATTTCCATCTTCAACTCTCTTTCCTTTGAGAGCGTTTTAAAACCAAAAATCTCTTTTTTAAAGCTGATACTGGCGAATCGTATGTAGCCGCTGAACTGCATGGCGGAGAATTGCTGGTAAAAATGCAATTTAATGGCACACCCGAGGCCTACACTGTCGGCGGCAATAAGCTTGACAATGGCTACAATCATCTCATCGAAGTGGTGCGCAATCAGACGCTCGTACAGGTTAAACTCAACGGCACTGAGTACTTCCGTAAGACACTTTCCTCCACTGGTTTACTCGATGCCCAGGTGCTCTACCTTGGCGGACCACCAGTTGGTGTGCAAACACAAGCACCAACAACCGCTGGTACTGATCCAGCGGCAGCAACGCCCGAAGAGAATGTCGTAAATAATGAAGTCGATGAAAAGGACTACTTCAAGGGTATCATACAGGATGTGAAAGTAAGCAATGGCTCACATACGATGATTGTAGAACTATACCCATTGAATGAGGACGATCTGCTCTTGCCACCCTCGTTCGGTGTGGTCACCATTGATCGTACATCGGTACTGAAAGGTGAAGTAACGGATGATTTGTGCCGTAAGAACCCCTGCAAGCACAATGCCGATTGCCGGAATACATGGAACGACTACGTATGTACCTGTCCGAATGGTTATAAGGGCAAGAATTGTCAAGAGATCGAGTTTTGTCAGCTAGTCGAATGTCCGGGTAATAGTAAATGTCAGAATCTCGACGACGGTTATGAGTGTTTGACGAACATCACATTCAAGGGCAATGAAAAGAATCCCTTGGCGTTCACTTACTACGTAGAGCAAATGCCTGATGAACCAAAAATGTTGGTGCAACCGGTTATAGAGATCGCGTACAGAACACGAGCTGGCGGCACACTATTTTTCATAGAAAATGGTGAGAGCTTCTTTGAAATTGGCGTGAATCAGGGACAAGTGACGGTCACTTGGAAGTTGAGTCAGGAGGCATTTGGCGATACCAAGCGCTTTACCAAAGACACATCTGGTCCCACTCACATGGAGATGATGAATGAGCCAGGGTAGGTTTTGAGAACCATACGATATAATTTTAACAGTATTTTTAATACTTTTTCGTTCCATTTAACAGCTGGAACCGCATTTACTTACGCGCGCAAGGTGGCAAACTCGAGGGCGGCTGGAAGGGTTGGGAGAGCATGGTCGATCCGTCACCCGCTTTCTCCGCCGACATAGATCAACAAGCTTTCCAAGAACTACTCTCCAGTGACACTCAGGTTTATCTCGGTGGCATGCCCACTGATAGTCGGCAAGCGCGTGGCAGCAGCTCAGCACAGCAGGGCTCACAATTCAAGGGTTGCTTGGGCGAGGCACGCGTTGGTGATCTCTTGTTGCCTTATTTCTCGAACGCAGAAATGTATCCACGCACTGAGAACGTCTCGGTGCAACCACACTCGCAATTCCGTCTCAATTCGACCAAACCGGATGAGGGTTGTGTGCTCTGCTTTAATACGGACTGCAAGAATGGTGGCTACTGTAGCTCACCGTCCGAGCAGTATGCCTGCACGTGTCTGCCTGGTTATGAGGGGGAGGACTGCGCGACCGATATAAATGAATGCCTGAATGCAACTTGTGAGAATAATTCCACTTGCATTGACAAAGTCGCCGACTTCCAATGCCGTTGTCTACCGGGCTATGACGGACGTCTGTGTGAACATAATATTGATGAGTGCGCCTCGCAGCCCTGTCATAATGGTGGCAATTGCACGGATCTAATTGCCGCCTTCCATTGCGATTGTGCAGAAGAATATGCGGGCGCTCAGTGCGATTTCTTGAAACAGGTCACCTGCGATAATTTGCCCTGCCGCAACGGTTCGACTTGTGAGGATGGATTTAGTAAGTGAACTTGTATTTTATTTCCAAAAGCAATAATTAGGAGAAACTACTTTTTTATCCACACTTTCATTTGGGAAAACTAGGCATATTTAGAGACGACAGTTAAAAGAATTTGAGGGTGGTGATTCAGTAGGGTCGAATTTAGACCTCAAAACAATTTTGAATCTCTTATTCGGACAAGAGAAATTTTCTCAAGAAAAAAAGGGCGAAAAAATAGGGTATTGAATCGCTGGAGCCAACACAATTTGAGAAGTTCATGTGGAAAAAAAAGCTTCAATTAGAGAATTTTCTGATCTCTTCATCTTCAGTTTGTTTTAATAAAATTAGCACTTATTAACGAAGATTCGAGCAAAATAATATAAAATGTGCAAAATATACAGCATTCGGGAAAGCTTTCACGAATGTTTCAAATATTGAGTAATTTAAACATATTTTAGCATAGAGTTGCCACACTCACTGAATATATAAAATATGTGAAAACATTACAACAGCAGTTTCAAGCGCCGCTGAAGATGACCTTGTGGAAAGTATTTGAAAAAAACTGAATACTATAAAAATTTGAGAAAAGGGTTACCACATTATTAAAACACGAACAAATTAAAAATTTCAATATCTTATAAATATATGAAAATTATTTTTCTAATCACAGATGCCAATACCAACAACAACTTCACTTGCATTTGTATGCCCGATTTCGAAGGACCCTATTGCGATGTGCCCTTCTGCGAAACGACGCCGTGTCAAAATGGCGGTCTCTGCATATTCGCAGACGCTTACGTAAGTCAAATATATGCCACTTCTGAATTGTGAGAAGTTATCGAACCTACTAAATTTCTTTATAGACACCACTATGTCAGTGCAGTTTAGGTTATACAGGTCACCTATGTGAAAAGGATATCAATGAGTGCGATCCCAATCCATGTCTCAATAAAGGCATGTGCCACGACCTTATCGGCGCCTATCAATGCAATTGCACCGGCACCGGCTTTGAGGGCAACAATTGCGACATCGATATCGATGAATGTGCCTCGGGTATTGAGTACTGTGGCGGCTTAGGACGCTGCATCAATTTACAGGGTTCATTCAAATGCATCTGTCAGGATTCTTTCTGTGGCGTCTATTGCAACTTTACCGATCCGTGCAAGAATGGTGAGGGTTCACCGTGTATGAATGGCGGCAGCTGCCAGGAGGCGTGCGGCGATGAAGCGGACTATAAGTGCACCTGCAAGGCCGGCTATGAGGGCAAGGACTGCACACTGGTGGTGAGTGTGCTTGATTTTATGGAAATTAGAGGAATTTTTGAAATTTAACAATTTTTCAATACACAGATGGCCGCCAAAGATGAGGGTCCCTCCACTGCCGACATCGCCATCATTGTAATACCCGTGTTGGTGGTGTTGTTGCTGATTGGCGCGGCGCTGTTGGGCACATTTTTGGTTATGGCGCGCAATAAGCGTGCGACGCGCGGCACTTACAGCCCCAGCGCGCAAGAATATTGTAATCCGCGCCTGGAAATGGATAATGTGCTGAAGCCACCGCCAGAGGAGCGTCTAATTTAGTCGTTGACAGTTATTTCGTCTACTTTTTATTCTAAATTATATTTGTAATTAATGTTGACTTGGCACGATAGTGATGTATGAATGAAAGTAAAACCGTTACTATAAAGTCTTTATCCGCCCATTAAGTATAGTGATAGTGATTAATTAAGTGTTTAAGCGTACTAATTACGAATTATTGCTCATTATAGCGGTTTAGAAGACATTAAGCGCGTTAAAAATATCACACTCGCATTCGCTAGATTTCAGCAAGTTCGAAATAAGTTTACGCCTAGTAATTAGAAAAAAGCTGCTTAAAAATGCAACCGTGACATAAAACGTTAAGAAAAAAATTTAGCTAGCGAGTGTAAATTTTTTTTTTTTTGGAAATTTTGGCGCAGATTTAGGGTAATTAAATAAATTAAAATATATGTTTGATATAATGTAACTAGTTAGCTCAGACAACCTGTTTATGTGCTCAGTTCAAATACAGTGTACTTTCATAGACATATATTATACATGCATATTTATAATTTTACTTGAAAAAAAAAATTTAACAAATATTTATAGTTAAATAATCGTAAGGTTTAAAACCTCAGTATTGTGTTTGAATGCCAAGTGAGCAGTAAAATTATTTTTAAAAAATTATAAAAAAAATATTCAAACAAAATATTTTAAAAAATATATATAAAAATATTTAAAAATATATATATATAAAAAATATTTAAAAAAATTTTAGAAAATAGTCGAAGAAAACTTAAAAAATAACTAAAATGTTGAAATTTTAAAATTTAATATTTAAAAAGTATATATTTAGAAAGTAAAATTTCAATTAAAAAACAAATTAATATTCAAAAATTAAAATTAATAATTAAAAATTTTAAATTTAAAATTTTTAAATTCAAAAATTTAATATTTAAATTTTTTTAAATTTAATATATATATTCAAAATTTAAAATTTTCAACTTTAAAATATAAAAATTAAAATTCATATTTTAAGTATTTAAAAATTAAATATTTAAAATATAAAATACAAAATTTAAATTTCAAAACCTAAAAATTACAAATTACTTAAAAAAATGTCAATAATTAAACATATTTGTGAGAAAACAAAAAAAAAAATTTTTTGTGTAAAGCAAACTCCTCACTATGGACTTCCAAACAAAAGTGCTCTAGAATAAATATAAATCAAATTTATGTATTTGTCTAAGCATAATTTAGTGTATTTCCAATACATAAGTTAAATACCACGACTACAACTACAACAATCAATCTGTGGCCTTATTTTGTGTAATCGTATACCTTTAATTCAATTCGTGTTACCGTTATTTAGATTTTTTATCGTATATTTACTTATTATGTTAATCTATACATACATGCATACATTTATTACAAATACATACATACATAAATAAATACGTTAACTTAAGAGACTGTATTATATTAAATCGACTAATTTATATTTAATATTAATAAAGACCTTTAAACATAACTTAAATTATTTGTATTCTCTCAAGAGCTCTCAATAAAACGGTCGTTGGAAAGTAATTTAGCAATAGTGCAGTGGACATCGCCGTTATTTCCTCGGCAGTCGGGTTTACATAATCCGAATTCAACCGAAGTTTTATGCGGCCAAGAATTGTCAACTTAACAACCGCTACAACCACAGGAAATCGGCTAGACTGAGGTCTATTTTAATAATAAAAACGGAATCGACACCAGAAATCATTGAGCAAGTTCATAATATGGTGAGTGAAGGTTCTAGTTTGACTAAGTGTGAAATTGCATTTTTATATGGAATAAGCAAAACCTTGAAAGAGAGACCTGTACTCTTATAGTAGTTAGATAGATATTTTTTGAGGTTTGCACACACAGTCACAGTAAAGCCAATAATCTGATGAGGTTAAGTCTATCTGCTGATTGTTTCGTCCCTAGAGGAAATTATCAGTTAATTGTTTGATTATTTTTAGGTTATACCCTCCCGGCAATAGTTTTTGTTGGTGTAGGTCAATAGTTTACAGACAGCAGATTCTCTATTCGTTTTGATTGATAGCGATAAACTGGTAAAATTAAAAGTAAAAATACTGAATTGATAAGGTTATCGCCAGAAATTACTGGAGATGACGATCGTTTGGTAAAGTAGAATTGCAACAATAATTACTCACTATTCATCCTTATTGTGTATATTAGAGAATCTTTGATAGCAATTTTTTTTTCTAATTTTTTCGATTAAGCTGAGGTTAGACTTCTAAAATGCAGACTGGAAACTATTTAATGGCAAGTAGTGTATAAAAAATGCATACGCATTTGCTCAAGAAAATATTTATGTACATACATATATGTACATATATGTGCCTTCAACTTAAGTATAGGTGTAACAGTTAATCGCGAATGAAAAGAGAGGATTAAGAAACAACTGTGTACTTTACTATTAACTACTTGTAGTAACCAAGTCCACTATGAATTTGGCGGACCATAAATATCTCGTTATTACTATTAATTTGTTCATAATCATATTTGTTGTAGTTGTTTTGATAGTTTTATTACGCATTTAGGAATATGGATGAAATACTTACGTACATAATTAACGTGATTTAGTAAAAAAGTCAAATATCTATAATTTATGAGGGAAATGGTAAGTATAAATTATCTATGAATTTTAATACAGCTTATAGATAATGGGGGCAGAAAGGTGAAATGCCAACAATTGTAAACAATTTGACTTGAGAATTTTGCAGAGAGCAACAACAAATCTGTAAGCAAATTAAGGATTTTAATGGCATTTGTACACGAAAATGTTAAGTAAACCTAAATTATTATCTCCAAAATTGTTAGGGAAATGTGTTCTCACATTACGAGAACAACAGCAACAACAATCTACGTATGTAAATAGAACTTCTTGCGATTTTTATGTGGCCAAAGGCTGTCAGTAAACTCGTCAGCATAACTTTCTGCAAGAACTTTTGACAACAGCGCAGCTCTGCATAATTAACATAACCTAAATTTGTGTGTTTCAATGTTATTACTTTTAAAATATTTTCCGTAACCAACGAGTTAAAGCATTAATTTCCCAAACAAGTAGTGCAAAAAAAGCAACAAAGCACAAAAAAATCAACTATGTATTATGCAAATATTTGCTTCATAATTTTTATTTTATTTTAACTGCATTTATAATTACTTGACAAGCCCTAAAATGCAAAAAACCTTTAATATAATACTAATTCAAGAATTCACGGCGCAACTCGCCTCGATTATAATCATTTATACATACATACATATGTAGGTATGTATAACATTTTAGTATGCGTGTGTGTATATACTACTTGTATTTCATATGCGAGCTAGTAAATTTTTTTTTTCAATTTAATATTTATTATGCGAGAATATCATTTTTTTTAAATAATTTAAAATTTTTTCCATGTATTTGTTTGTGTTATTATTATTATTTTTTAATTGCGTATAGCATAACTACGCAGCGCCTAATTTATAAATATAGTAGTAGTATATATGAATTAGTTTGCATTGCTGCACAACTTTTACATTTACAAATATTCAAAAAAAGGAGAGTAGTTTACTAAATGTATGCGTAAGAGAAGATGACACTGGGCATGCAGCGCGTTTTAAACAACCGATGCGACCCATTTAAATTTGCTGCTGCTCTGCACTTCGTGATGATAGAAATTGCATTCCAATTTATTGATGCAATTCTTGCCAAAGCGACACGGTTTGGGATGGTAGAAGGTGCAGCCGACCTTAGTGCAAGTTGGATAGTATTTGCACATGGTGCTGTTGGCGGCTGCTGTGGCTGAAATCGATTTATAGTTCTGCACAGGCACAACATGTGATGCTAAGTAGGAGAAAAAAGACAATAACAAAAATGTATTAAGAAATGCTGCTGCCTCGACAACTTGTTGTTCAAAAAAAAAAAAAAAAAAAAAAATGCACTTACATAAGGGGGGCGCCTGAGGTACCAGCTGCGCTGGATCCCTGGGACCGCTGTGCGCATAATTGCAATCCAGATTCGTGCAAGCGAGATCATATTTGCAATGCGGATGCGAGTACAAGCATTTGTCGGCGAATTTGCAATTCGGGAAACTTTTACACGGCGCTGTCGGGTGATAATAGTCACAGAATTGTTTGGTGCAATTCGGATGGTATTTGCAGCGTTCCTTTGTTTTCATAACACGCACAGCACTCGAGTCCAAAGTGACGGAGCTCACTGTAAGATAAAATACATATTATTATTACTTTGAAAATGTCTTAAAATTACAAAGAATATACTTACATGACGGTATGTTGTCGTACTTCTTCGCCTCCACATTGCGCGTTGAGATCTTGCGTCGCTCCTCGCCGCTATGACGCTCAGCGGAATAATCACGCGAGGCTGCACGCTCGCGCTCACGATTGTGTAGCTCGTGTTCGCGTTCTCGTTCACGCCCCCTTTCGCGCATGCGTGTGCTATCGTCGCTTCTGGAGCGCCGCTTATGTACTGGCTGCTCTTCCACATCAACATCATCATCATTAATATCACTGTTGTTCATGGCACGCGCTCTGCCCTCATACTGACTGCTATTGGAGCTGCGTTTGCGTTTGGGCGGTGTGCGTGACTCCTTGCGCGTGTCGATTTTGCGCAACGATGGTGGCGTGTTTGAACGCTCGAGCTCTTGGTTACGCTCCACGCTGTGTGTACGCTTGTGTTTGCGTTGTTGATTGCCGTTGCCCACAACAATGGTGGATGACAATTTCTTTGGACTCATCTCCTCATCGTCTGTATCATTCTTAATAATAATCTTTTTGATCTCTTTTGGTTTGCGATAAGTTTCGACTAAATCGGAGCGTCTTAGTGGCGGTGTTGCAGATAATGAATTGGATGATTCGTGATCGCTAAAACGTGGCACCGTTGATGATGGCATTACTTTGGCTGAGAGACGTGATTTGATGCTGGCGCGACGACTGTGCTCATTTTCATGTGCGCCCGAGCGTGGTCGTGATGCTTGTGTTGATTTTGTTGTTGTGGTTGTAGTTGACGATGCTTCGGCACGTTTGGAACGCGCAACCGAGGAGGATGAGGAGACTTCCTGCAATGGCGATTCGGAACGTACACGCTTCAAGGCAGCCTTTGCGCGCGACATGAACTTCAAAGCCGCTTTTTCATCTGCAAAAAGAAATACGAAAAAATAATTAAGTCAACTGTAGCCGTAACTAAACTCATTACAACTTAAACGGCGACTTAAAGCATCTAACTCACCATTAAGCGTAACCACAAATTGTGTTTTCCTTTGTGGCAGTTTGTCAGCTGTTTGCTGCGCATTTGCGTTTACATCCTCTTCAACTTCGTCGGAGCTGTGTTAAGCAAAAATTGTTTTAAGTATTAAATGTAAAAAAAAAAAAAGTAAAACTCACTCTTCGCTCTCAGCACTTTCGTGCTCCTCATTCTTTATGCGTATCATTTGCGGCACATACATGTAATTGATGTTGGAGTCAACACGTTGGAACACCGTGCCTGGCACGTACTTCTCCTCCAATTCTTCTGACTCCTCTAGCTCCTCCGCCTCACTATGCGCCTGCTCTTCAACCTCCACGTCGTCGATTTGTGCGCGTCGTCGCTTTTGTAACGGCATATCGCTTTCAACCTTGATGACAAGATTTTGTGTGGCGCGTCTGAACAAATTCGAGCTTGTTGCCGATGTGGAAGTGACTTTAGCGCCGCGTTTCAAGCGCTCACGATAGGCTTTGGTGTACAATTTACGCTCGTCAGTTGGATCTTGAACGATGTTGCTCACTTTGTTCGGCGCGGCCTTTTCCTCTTTGTGACGTGCCTTTATAATGGTCGAGCGTTGTGCTTCGGCGACGGCGCGTAGCAGTAATGTTTTGCAAGCCTGCTTGCTCGGTGAAACCGGCGCGCGTGGTTTAATTTTTATAATCGAATTCAATGATTTATCCTCATCTTCGGAGGATTCCACTTGCTTTACGGGTGCTACAATAACACGCGAACCGATGCGTTGTCGCTGTGTTTGTGGCGAATGCGCTACTTTATTTTCTTCATCATCACTACTCTCTTCGCTATCCGTAGACGTTTCACTTGTTGATGAGTTCATTTTCTCGTCGAGCTTCTTTTCAGCGATGATGCTCTTATTGGCATAATTTGGTTTCACAATAGCCGATACCGTTATGTTGGGCAGTGTACGCGGTTCGTTAGTCGTTGTGGTACGTCGTAATATTGGCGATAATGAGCGTCGCATGCGGGGCACACTACCTTTACGCCTATTTTCCACAGCATCACGACTGCGTTCTCTGCCACGCTCTCTAGGACGCTCACGTTCGCGTTCCAAATCACGGTCTTTACGTCGGTCTTCACTTCTACCGCGCAGTCGTGCTGGAAGGCGACCCCTTTCACGTTCCCGATCACGGTCACGGTCGCGTTGGCGTTCACGTTCTTTTTCCTTTTCACGTTCACGCTCACGTTCCCTTTCTCTATTTCTATCATGTTCTCTTTCA